CTGTTAACTGACTTTCATTTTATACATGTAAAATGGTTGAGCTAGTCCAAGTGACAGCTTTACTTTAATCAACGTTGATTAATTGAGTAAGGAATTAAATGGCAGAAGTTTATGGGCTGAGTCCTCCTTCCACTTTCTTCCTGATGATAAATACTATTTTTTTAAATGTAATGTAATTTGAAAAACATGTGCATCCACTTTTAGAAGCAAGCAAATCTTATAGTGCCATAGTGTTAATTGACAACTCAGCTCTGTCCTTCTTCACAGTAAAATATAATATGTATAAGTTATTTATGGTTCATTTCTAACGCTGGTTGATTTATAGCCCTCATCATGCCTTCTGGTCTGCCAAGCAACCTTATGTGGCCCACTGGCATTTTTTGAGAACTTAACAAACCCACTGCCATTGTCACAATTGCCTAGCTTTTCATAGCCATCTTGGCCCTGAAAGACATGCTGCTGAGCACCTCCCACATATCCAGGCATTACTGATACGGCCAGTTCCTGTAATGCCACCATGCTGCTAGCTGCTGAAAAGCTGATTAGCATGCTAGCTTTTTCTTTGAGGCCTGCCATTAACTTTCAAGTATCAGTGCATCTCCTTTCCAGTGGTGGTATTCAAATATGTGAACAACTGGTTCTCAGTGTGGATGTCGCTTCTGGATGTCCATTCTGGGCCTGGGCAACAAAAAATTAGCTACCGGTTCTGCCGAAGTGGTGCGAACTGGCTGAATCCCACCACTGTTCCTTCCTCTCTTTGAGTTCTGCAGGTCTAGCCTATGTTGTACCATATCCAGGTGCTGGCAAATACAGAGACCAACCTGAGATATGTGTTGTTATTCTCTGCCTGTATTTCCAGTGCTATTTAGATATATGCCATTTTTGAAGGTGTTGGGAGAAGAAACTCAAGACAATACACAGAAGAATTTTGCCTGCTTTCCTGTACTGGCTTTCAGATTACTTTGCAAATGCACCATTTTGAATTTAAACCAATGTTAAGTTCAAAAGAGTTGTTTGGAGAGAGAAATTGTTGTTTTATATTTGAAGTAGGTTACTTTGAACAGAAATATTCTGAGTCTAAAATGCATTCAGAAGAACAAAATATTTTTGAACTTGAAGTAGTACAATTCAATGTCAGAATATTTTGCACACCACTATCTCCCAGCTTTTTAGTTCTAAAATAAGAGGGGGCCAAAAAGTGTATGTTGGTCTTTATGTGTGTGTAAATATATAAATATAAACATAAAACATACATACATACATTATTTTATCTTCTCTGAATATGTAGATAAGAACTGGGAAATATGAACTACAAACATGAGTTTCACCTAGAGATGGAAGGAAAAAGAGTGCAAGATTGGCCTGTCCTCTGTAAGATTGTACCAAACCTGTTTCTTAAATTCTTTAGCAAGATTGTGGCTGGTAAGACTTTGATAAGGTTCAAGTTATTCTTTAATCTTTCAGTATTGATTATATACAATGAATAATTTGACAGTTTCCCTCTCCAGCTTCTAAAGATGATAGAGAGTGCAACCTCAATCATAATTGCTAGTTGAAAGGTTTTGAAAAAAGCTGAACTTAATTCAATAAAAGTGCTGGTAAAATTTCAGATTTGTTAAATTTATCTACTGTTTTTCCATCAGTTTATAGAAATGTACTTGTTAAGTGTACATGATTAGCCACCTTATGATCAGAATGTTGGAAAAGTGTGTAACGTGATGTATCTATAAGCCATTCCATTTCTGAAAATGAGATGGTGAAAAAATAGCCAAAGATGGCAATTTTTGAAACCTTTAGTGCCTTTCAAGAATTTCATTTTCTTCTCCACACATCCATTACATTTTCTGTGAAGACTGCTGCACATCAAGCTCATTCTTCCCCATGGCTCTAGAAGAGTTGGACAGAAATTCGTATCCACAATGCTTAGGATAATGGGAGTTGTAGTTATTTCCATCTGAAAGGCTTTTGGCTAGAGAGATTCATATAGCTAGGTGCACTCACATGGACTTCAGTTTATACTACTTTAAAAGAATCTGATGGTTCTGGTTTTGCATTTGGACTTAAGTGAATTAAGCAAAGCATTCTGTTTAATAGAATACAGGACCAAGTTTTTAAAATTAGATACAGCCTCTGTATCTGCTTAGAAGTAAGTCCTTCAGTGGGCTTCGGGGAGTATGTATAAATCTTCAGTTTAGTTGATTAGGTGGAGTGACTGTTGAGTACTGTGCATAAGGAAGTACTTGTAGTGTACTTTTTAAAAATGTGGTTTAGAGACTGATGTCTTAGTAAAAATTTAAACATACAATAAAAATAGTAATTCTAATATTAATTGACAGACATCATCTGTACTTTAGCAAATAAAATGAATCATTTTAACCAATCAACATTTTTTTTTTTTAGTAATGTTGCAATTGGAGCCAAATACACTTCATATGTGAGCACTACTTGAAATTGATGGAAACCCTACGCTCACTTATACTACTTGTTTTATTCTGCTTTTAATTCAGACATTGTTCTCCTGACTGGATTTTTGTGTTAGTTAAATTTCTCAAAAGTTACTGCTTCTTAAGTGTATCAAAATATACACTTTTATATAAGTAATTATATAACTCCTGCTATATAACTCCTGAAATATACTTGATGTGGAAGAAATGTATATTACTGAATGGCTGTTTAAGTTATTTTATCCTCTCAAGCATAGGAGCTATTATTAGTATGCCTTTTTAAAGAAATTATTTTTAACCAGCTTCTATTTTGCCCTTTAACATTCCAGCATAGAGACAGTGTACAGCTGTTTTAGAGTGAAGCTTAAAATCAATTATATGAAACTGCTACACTTCTTTAAACTATTTCCCATGTGAATTATGATGCTGGACAAAATTAGATAATTTGTAAAACAGTTACATATTTGTACCTTATAAACTTGAGGGGTCATCTTAAATTTGTTAAAAAGTAAAGATTATTATACTTTAAAAACTAAATTTAGATGGCTTTACTGTGCTTTTGGATAAGATTTAAAGCAAAAGCAGGAAATAAAGTCACATTGCTTAGCATTGAAATGTTAAAAACTGGAGCACCCATAGAGACTGATTTTTGAAGTACTGAATATCTTAAAAATGAATCATTGAAAATTATTATATCAAAGAATGGATTACTCTAAATGAAGCCACATTGTAATAAAATATTTGATACTAGGAAAGACTGCTTAGCAGAATATTAGCAGTATACTATTCTAGGTGAATATAAACATTAATTTGCAATAGAAATACACAGAAGGAAGATACAACTGACAAAAAGAGAAATGTTTAAAGTACTGATGATGCCTACTTGCAATTCTTGGTTTATTCTATTATAAACAGTAATTCTAGAAGAAACTTAGCAGCCAATCTCTTTTAAGAAAGGATAACTTGAAGAAAAAGGAAACAGTTTCATCAATTTTTGTTTGTTTGTCTAATAACACCAACTCAAAATTATTTTAAAAAAACCCTCTTGATCCAGTCTTTCAAGCAGTCCAGCACCTATACAGGACCTTCCTTCCTTCCTTCCTTCCTTCCTTCCTTCCTTCCTTCCTTCCTTCCTTCCTTCCTTCCTTCCTTCCACCCTTGTATACATACATACATACAAAATCCTAAGAAATTTCACTTGTATTATCTTTTGCAATTGAATTATACATTATTATGTTTCTCTGTTATAAAGAGCTTTTATCTTCCATGCATATTAAAACTCTTTTTACCTATCCAAAGTTTTTCATGCCTAAAACACTATACTAAATAGCAGCTTTTATGTTTTTTTTGTTGCAAATATAGGCATTATGAAACTTGTGCATTGAATGTTGTAATAAGAACGGCCTTTGTACTGATATCTTTAAGAAAATACATAGACTTTAAAAAGTTTCTAATGAGAATCAAGTGTGCCTTGCCTTTATTTAAATAATATTCCCAAAGTTGCTCAATTGTAACTGACCTGAATTAATTTCATAGAACCAGTGGAAGAGATAAATTATGGGAAAGAGATTTGCAATTGCTATTAAGAAAGGCTGTAAAGTTTGATATCTTTATATTTTCTAGGAATATGTATTTTGGGAGGTCTGGAAGTTAGTGTAGCATTTTGTGTATAGGAAAGAAGTTTAGAATTGATGTTCATGAGCAAACGGTAGAAAGGAAAAAGTTAGCCAGCCCACTCCTTCACTATTCTTCCTTTTTATTTTACAGTATCAAACATAAGCAGTCAGTGACTAGTTTGCATTTCAAGTAACGGCTAATAAAATAAAAATGCAATAGATTGCATTTGCATAATTCATGAACTACTAAGAATAGAAGTTAATGATTTAAAGATTGCTATATTTACAAATCTGTAAGGTATAACACGTTATTTTATTTCTTAAAAAATTTAAAAACTACATCAAAGAACACAGTAGCAAAAAATGAACCCCAAAGCTTGAAACTTTGCAGAAGGTTACTGAAGCATACATTAAAGTTCCATCCATTCTCTAAACATTGTCCCTTCCAAGATGAGGCTATCCTCTTCCAGAAAGACCTTAAAATGTTTTTATTTTTCAGCAACCCTGGAAATCCTCTGGTTATAAGAAGCCTACATGAGGCTGTATTATGTGTAATATTCTCCTGCTTGTGGCCTTCTTTCTTTAATTGTTTTTAATGGCATTTGCAGTGGGTTTTAATAGTAGGTTTTATTGTATGCTACCCAGAGTCACTTTGTGTGAGACGTATATAAATATAATAAGTATTTATACAAATTTATATAAACTATATCAATCTGATAAATAAATGTGTTAGAATCATGTAACAAATCAGAAGCATAAATGTATCAGAAAGACATAACATATAACTTCTGTAGTTGTGGCAGTTTTATTTAAAATGCTACTTTTCTTTCTTGATATCTACTCTTTGAGTTCTACAAAGTATTCTATGTTGTATGTTGTAAAGATTTAGAATTTTGTCTTGATTTACACTAATGATTTTTTTTTTCCTGTCTCTTTGTAGATGTTACATCTTGGGACAAGCTGACAGTATCTCTCAGATGAACTTCTGCTCAAAAGTATGCTATTTGTACATGCTATTCAGTCTTCTTGAAACATGGGTGAAAAAGACAATGATAAGTACAACCAAGCTGACCAAATATTTGAAAGCTTTGTTCAAGCCTCAACATGCAAAGGTTCAATTCAGGCTTTTAATATTCTCACTCGCCATCTTGAATTAGACCCTTTGGATAACAGAAACTTTTATGCCAAACTTAAATCAAAAGTGACCAGCTGGAAGGCCAAAGCTTTGTGGAATAAGCTAGATAAGAGGGCAAGCCATAAGGAATACAAACGTGGAAAATCTTGTACAAACACAAAGGTAAGGAGAATTTGGTACTTCATTTTGAATCTGATCCTGCTTGAATAAATCAGATGACACTCTGCTTTTATAGAAGATATTTTGGGATGCTTCTTTCGGTTTAATAACAATTCTGGACAAACTTCCTCTTAGGGACAAAAGTACTTTGCTGTTCATACATACTATATCATGAGGCTAATGTAGATCTTTTAGTATTTGAAAGTTGGGCATGATATATGCTTGTAAATTTTCAGTTACTTTAATCTCTTCTGTAAATATAACCACAAAACCTTAATAAATTCACATGCTAATTTTAAAATATTAAAATATATGTACTTGCCTCATGTATTTGAGGAAGACTATTGTCATATTTAATTTTATTGCATTCAAAGTCAAGAATGCAAAGAGTGCTGGGAGCACTTAAATAATATGAAGCAAAAGAAGCTTTTTAGTTTCCATTGTCAGCTTTCATAAGAACCTGTAAGTGAATGATCACTACCTAAGTGGAAGGGAAATACCTTATTGAAAAATTGAATCCATTGAATCCTGGCTGAAGAATTCTGGGAGTTGAAGTCCACACGTCATAACAGGGCCAGGTTTGAAGACCCCTGTGAACCAGATATATTAATACAAGTAGTCCTCAGTTAATGACAATAACTAGGACTGGCAACTCTGTTGCTAAACAAAGCAGTTGTGAAGCACAATGTTACGTGACCACATCAACTTACGATGGAAGTTCCCGTTGCGGTTGTTATGTGAATCCTGCACAGATTTTTAGCTCAATGTCACAAGATCACCATATGGGTCCTCCTGCCACCTTTCCCATTGACTTTGCTTGTTGGGAGCAGGCAACGAAGGTCACAGATGGCGATAATGTGACCCACAGGATGCTGTGACTGTCATAATTGTGAGCCAGTTGCCAAGTGCTCGATTGTGATCATGTGACTATGGAGATGCTGTGACAGCCTCAGCTTCGAGGACTGGTCATAAGTTTCCTCTTGCAGCAGTATCCTACCTGTGAACTAAATAATTAACTGAGGACTACCTGTAGCATTGATGTGAACAGGATAATTGGACTTGCATGTTGAATATATGAATATGACTTTATATGTGCAACTTAAGTACTTAGTATTCTTCTGTAATTAGGGATTTTTAAAAATGTGTTTTCTATCCCCAGAATAGAGAAGAAAGGGCAATACCAAATTCTATTATTAACAATGGCTTTTTGTCATTTTTAAAAATTAGAATATTCCACAGAAACTAAAACAAACATGACATCTTAATAAAAACAGTATCAATTAATACATTTCAGTTACTTCAAAATGATCCAAAATTGTTTTATATGCTATCAAAGAAACCAGACTGTATGTATGGAAACACTTAATCTGAGGAATGCAATGAAAACACTGACTGGATTGCCAGCCAAATTTAACTATCAAGCAAGCATTCTTTACTGATGATTCATTGTTTCCTGTCAAAAAATATCTATGATATAAATATGAGTGATGGGAAGTGCAGAAACAAGAACAACTCCCAAGTGATTACTTTGAGGCAGTACTGGTATTAAGATACTAAATATACTGGGTTTAGCACCTTAGAAGATTAAATTACATGACAGTATATAAATCAGTTGTGGAAGTAAAATCTTCTATACAATTAGCGACAACAAATATACTTGGAACAAAGTATGATTCTCATGTTGAGCATTAATGGTCATAGAATTAAACTCTGTGAACGGTCTAGAACAGTGGTGGCGAAGCTATGGCACTCAGAAACTCTCTGTGGGCATGTGCGCTGTTGCCCCAGCCCCGCTTCCCCCGCAGCCCCTCCTCACTAGCAGCCCCCCAGAAGGGAGTTGCCCCCGAGCATGGACCAGCGCAGCCAAGGACATGGCAGCTGGGCAGCAGGGACAAGACTTCACTCTTGCGCCCCATTGCACACAGTTGATACTGCGTGGTGAGGGCAGAGGGCATGGCCACCATGGCACTGCTGGGCTGCCTGGGCGATCTGTGATGGGCCGTGGAGTAAGTGAATGGCCCTGCGGGTGGGCCGGGTGGGGATGGAGTGGGCAGGATGGGGGCGGAGTAGGCGGGTGGGACAGGGCGGGGCCGGTTTTGGGGCACTCGGTCTCTAAAAAGTTCGCCATCACTGGTCTAGAATGTTTTGCTAAATGTTAGAAAATCATTTTGAAATTCTTGCATAGTCATAAATATCACAGCAGTCTTGCATCTTACTGTCTGTATTATTTCTGATTATCTATCTATCTATCTATCTATCTATCTATCTATCTATCTATCTATCTACCAAATAGTTTTAAAATGTATACATTGCATTATTTGTAATAGGGTGTGCATGTATAAAATACATAAAATAAAAATAAAATGTAATGGCTAAGGCATTAGATTACAAACTGGGAAGTTCTAGTTTCATCTTAGGCACAAAGCCAGGTGGGTGACCTTGGGCCAGTCACTTTCAAAAGTGGCAATGGCAAACCACTTTTGAAAACCTCACCAAGAAAAGTGCAGGGATTTGTCCAGGTAGTCTTTAAGAATCAGATAGATGATTGAATGGAAATAAATACATACATACAGTAGTGAAAAATAATAAACAAAAATATCTGAAACAAAAACCAGAGGAAAAGCAATAGATTTATAAGAAATAAACAGTGACATTCAGTTTTAAATAAACATATATTTTCAGATGTTGGATATAGCAATATTAGAAAAGACAACATTTTAATGGTTGAGGGAGAACTTTGACAGATAAATCTCTACTTTTGTGGGAAAAAGTAAGCCTTCCTATTTCTACTTTAGCCTCTGATTTAATAGGGATGCCTGTATAAAATCAGTTTTGAATACCTGTAGAACACAAAAAAAATGAAATTCCTGGGGAACACAAAAAATCTTAACCACATTCTTCATATTGATTAAATTGGAATCATTGTGTATTTTCTAATGTTTCTTCTTTGTATTTCTGTATATTTTTATTGAACTTGATTGGTAGTCACAATTGGAAAATGGGCTATTGGGTAGAATAATCACTTGTGCTTCTGAAAAAGCTGAAATTAGTCTATTAAATACTGTGCAAAAAGGCCTGCAGAGCACCTTAGATAGGATTGGGGTTTTTTTTATGACCAAACCTTCTTCAATAATTCATAATTTTGACAGTAAAAATCATTGTGCAATGTTGGCTCTTATATACTATTGAGGAGTGTGTGTGTGTCAAACTAAACATTACTTCATTGCCATTGCTAGTAAGTCAACTGTGCATTATTTTCTTATTCAGAAGGGAGGGATTCAACTGGATCCGAACTCTAACATGGAAGCGAGTGATTTATTACCTGCCTTAATATAGTTGTGATCTATAACACACACGCAACACACAACATACACACACACACACAAACAATACACCATTTTCCTGCTAGTGGGGTACCTGATGATCTGATATCAGTAGAAGCAATGAATGTTTTTTTCAATGGGGCTGATATTTACAGAGAAGGTTGGGCAGGCTTTAAAAATTCATGTGAATGGAACACCTACAAGCTATCTGACATATTCCTAATCACTTTTCCCAATCAGTGTTTCAGAAGCAGACAGACTGGCTATAATCTGTTTGTTTTTGCTTGGTAATGTCTGGAATACAAACTGCCTTTTTTAATGCAGTTCCACAATAAAATACATAAATACTTCACCATGCCCTTTTTGTAGTTCCAGCTACTGTAGCTGAATCAAGGTACATGAACGCTGTCCATGGCAACTGTGCTCCTTGTTAGTTTAAAGTTCAACTTTATTGTTTCTTAGCCAAGGCTTGAAATGATTGATAGATTTTTCAGGAAATATGAAGCTAGTTAATATTTAAAAATATTAATTAGTATACATTATAATGGAGAAAAAAAATCCATTCATGATTCACTAAGCTAACGCTATCTTGATACTAAAACAATGTAAGGTATTCTGAGAATAACAGTAGCAATTGGTGTCATATGTATTATAACAATTTCACCCCATCCCCATTTTCTTTCAGTATGAATGTAGTTACATTTGGAACTTTTAAAAAACACATTTGATATCAGTGTGTATTGGGCTTTTTATTTGGCTTTTTGATATATTTTCCCCTTGTTTTATATATTCTCCTTCCTCCTTTTAAGAAATATAGTACAGAGAGCAATAAAGTTATTGTTGTAGATCGTGTTTCAAATAAATATTTCTTGAACAGCACACACTCTTCCTCTCTCCTCTCCAATTTTAATGCATTGAGGAGCTTCTAAAGCAAATGGGGCTTGGAGAAAAAGTCTAAAGTAATGAAGTACCATATCTTCTCCCTATAGCTTCCTATATGGTCTTAGATTCAAATACTTAGGGGTTCATGGGGGACTGTCAGAGGCAGTCTGGGATGTTTTATCAGAAGAAAATGTTACATCAATAACTACCATGTTATAAATTATGCTAATATGAGTTCCATATTTAACTTCATCTTTCAAATCCTGGATATTATTTTGGTGGAGAATTTAGTATAAGTCATTGCAAGAAAGGACGAACCATTTGTGTGAAGTGCAAAAAGAAAACAAATTTTGAATGGACTCCTGCATTAAAATTCTATAGAGCTGTAATTATGGTCAAGGTTTTGGAATGGAATTGGATAACTTGATTATTTTTTATGTCTAACGTGAGCTACTAGTTTTATTTAGCTCCTGACAGGATTAAACAGTAATTGCAAAAAGTTGATGTAAAAGGTTGATGTGAAATTGAGTAAATAAGTAATACATACCGTACAGCACTTTGCATTGTACTCAGAAGCTCCTCTGAAAGTGTGATTTCTGCATATATTTTCAGAACAACTTTTACCATTTCTAACAGTGAAAATGTTTTTTTTTAAAAAAAGCATCTATCAGAGCTGTTTGAAATGAGTATCTCTTGTATCTGAGGACTAGTGTACTGTAAAACAATATTCACTTATTACCAGGGATTCATGGCAATTCAAAACCTATTTTTTGGGTTATTTCTTAGAATATGCATTTA